CACACACACACACACACACACACTTACACACACACATTTACACCACGTACACATAAACACACACACACACACACACACACACACACACACACACACACACACACACACACACACACCCCCCACACACACACACCCTCAGCCCCACACACATACACACAGAGACATATGAATGAACACAACACAGATCTCACAGTGTCCGGCTGATGAACTCGAGGAGCAGTTTTACGGATGCGCAGAGCCAGGAGGACAGCCTCGTTGAAGGGCACACCAGCCGGAAGCTTGTAGGCGTCCATCTTGAGTCAGTGCGATCAAGCTATCAAAGATAACAGATAGCAGTTGTATAGCGCAAATCCTCGTTCAACCTCTGAGCAAGCTCTAAGCGCTTCACAATATTATATTATTACATACTATTACCCAAGCAGACCTGAGAGCATTCTGAAACAACATCAACTTCCTGGGAAGCATACAATGCAAGCAGCCATTTATAGGCGATCAAGCTATACATAGATAGTAGATAGCATTTGTATAGCGCAAATCCCCGCTCAACAGCAGGCTCTATGCGCTTCACAATCTATACTATTATCCCACGAGACCTGAGAGTATTCTGAAACAACCTCAACTTCCTAGGAAGAATACAGTCTCCACTTTCTGCCCCCCCCCCACCCCTCGCCTCCTTTACCCCCTCCTCTCGGCTCCTGACTCTTGCTGCAGTCTTACAACTGCTACTCCTTGGCTCCTTCTTACTGTCGTCTTTCAGCAACACCCCTGATCTGCTGGTAGGAAAGATCTACCTCTAACCTTCTCGGACAAGGGCGAAAAATCTCGGAGGTTCCGTGTGCAAGTTGCGCACGTTAAAGATCACTTCGTGGTTTAAAATCGTAGAATTGGCTTCGGTCGCCAACTGAAAAAGTTTCCTGTGTCCCGCGCGCTCAAATGACCTTACGCAGTTGCGAGGGCCGTAAAACACTTACCCAAAAAACAAAAGACTTCTCACCCACAGTCTGACGTCTGGCCACTCCACCACGGACTAGTGCGCGTTACACACGGCTTGTTTTACGCCTTTCTCAACCCCGGGCGGGTCACTGTAAGTGTGAGAGTCATTGGGGGGGG